AAAAAGTTGTGTGTGTGACAAATTCACAAAACTATGAGCTGCAAATTGAGGGATGAGTCTAAATTGTCTGAATTATTAGCACAATCAAGCCAAAACCTAGCACAGTTTTTGAGATTTTAAAAACAGCATAAAAAATAGTGATAATTGATATTTAGTTAGTTAGCTAAACCCTTAAATGTTAAAAACATGCAGTTGAAAGTGACTCAGTGGACGGTGCAGTGGATCCACCTGTTGACTCACAGTTGAGTGTCAGTTTAATGGGCTCTTCTGGCTTCTGTAGAAACTATTACACACTCTAAGACAACGCATTACGCAGATAAATTCCACCATCCACGGGCCATTTTTCACTCGGTTACCTTTAGCTTTCCACTGGACCGTGCAAACGCAGCACAGAACACACAGAAACACGGACACCCCTCTGTGTGAGAGATAGACGACTGACCTCCACATGCTTCTCATTTGTTAAAGGAGCGCACCAAAGCCTCAACGGGGGGTGTTTGTCAAGAACACTGACAGACTGCGATGAATTACAGGTCTGACGGGTGTGAATGTAGTGTGGAGTGAGTCTGGTACAGTCTCACGTTCTCGCTGTCATCGTCCACAGTGCTAATACATGAAAAATGCTGTTAAGATTCAAAGCATCCCGGCGTAGTATTGAGATGGATGTTTCAATCTTCACAGTGTTACATATATATGCCTTTTCAAATTTGGGGTCAACAAGATTTTTAACTTTTTTTTTTTTAAGAAACAAATACTTCTATTCAGCAAGCATGCATTAAATTGATCAAAAGTGACAGTAAAATATTTATAATCTTACAAAAAATGGTTATTTCTCGATTTTATAGTGAATTAAAAACATTGTATGTAATTTCGTATGTAACGTCCCACTGCCGAACTCTACTAGAGCCAGTGAGCAACACATCTATTTTATATAGATAGTATCCAGAAAGTATGTACATTTAGAATTGTTGTTTTTCTGGTTCCATTGAGTGCAAAATTTTCCCAAACTCATGGAGAAAACCTTCCAGAGCTTCAGAAACAGAATTCCATCCTGGATTCGGCACACGTCACTCCCTGCTCCACTATGGGAAATGGTTTAAGCGAGACCATGTGCGTGACCATGTGTGTGTGTGTGTGTGTGTTCTGCAGTGCTTTGACTGTATGCACTGATGTAATAGGATCCTGTAGCCTGGGAGACATGCTTTTCTCTCTCTGTTTCTATGTAAAGGTGCTTATTTGGTGCAGCAACTGGAGTATGTGTTTATTTTGGCCATAATTCTGCTGGTAGATTCAATTAGGCGTCAGTAACTTTTATTCCCCAGAGCACACATGCAACATTCCTCAAATGCAGCACAGTGTTTTCAAGAGTAAACAGTAATGAGTACACACACACACCTCTGGCTCCATTCTAGTCCAAGAATCAGATTAAACAATCCCCAAATTCAGTTATTTTTCTGCCTGATCAATTGCAGGTCACAGAGATCTACAGATATGTATCTGCATGTGTGTGTGTTATTTTAACAATACAGTCGCAGCTAGTCTCTTGTTGCTTTTATAAAAACTCCTTTTTTGAAACCCCGTTTTGAAGCACACGTTAGATATATATATATATAAAAAAATAAATATATATATATATATATATATATATGTAACCTACTGATCAAAATCATACAGCAGAACACTATTATTATTATTATTAATTATTATAAAAAATTTTATTATCAAATGAATATTATCAACATTCTAGAGAATTAAAAGACAGGGAATGTAGATGATTAAGATAATGCAATATAGGCTTCTATATTTAGTTATATAACACTAAATAAAAAAATCTGAAATTTGTTTGTTCATATATAGCAGATTTGATGTTTAGAGGAAAATCTCATGTACTTCTATAACAAAAAATTAAATACAGTTATTATATAAATTTGAAATGAAACATTAAAATTAGTTAATGTTTATTACATATTACATTTTATATGTAATAAACATTGTTGGAGGAAAATATACTTCTGACTATATCACAAATATATATAATATATAAATAAAAATATTTTACTATATAAAGTTGTTTTAATACCTATAAGTTGCTTACCAGCAGCTCTTAAAAACAGCTTTGCCCAGTATTATTATATTTTGTGAATACTGTACCAAATTTATTAATATTTGTATATAGTTACATATATTTTTATATAATTGTATTTATATATTACAATATAAAAAACTAAATATATAATACAATTAAGTAATATCATATATATATTTTATAATAATCACTCATTGCAACAGTTTACGGCTGTCAATAAATTCAAATAATTTACATTAACAATCTCAAAATAAGCCTCTAAATTTAGCATAATGATAAAACTAAATTAAATAACATTTATAATAATTTCTGTCAGGAAACTCAACAACAGTTTACTCTCTGATATTGCATTAGTGAAAAATAGCCAACAGGTTATATATTTCGTATCTGTATTTGTATCTGTGTTTACAGCTGCGAGACACAAAATACGTTGCTACAAGTTGATTCCACTCCAAAATGCGGTTTGTTCATGACCTGAACAAATAATAAAAGGGTAAAAGGCTTCACACACACATCAGAGGCTGGCTGCAGTACATGTGACTTGCAGAGGTCTGATACTGTAATATCTGGAGCGGGTTTGTGTGTGTGTGAATGTCATGGTTGGGTCCTAATCTCCTGTGGCAGGATCATGATGAGAAGCAGCTGCGCTTGTCTAACTCACTATCCACAGCTCGTACAGTTACGCTCAGATTAAATGGACGCTGCACAAAAACAGCAGCTCTTTAATGAGTCCTTCTTAAAGGGGAGGCTCAGCGTTTGCCAGCCTGATTGCTGTGTCAAATGGACGGCACATGCTTTCTTTTGGAGTTCAACGGCTGCAATAAGTCATGCAAACATTATCGGAACAAATATTACTATTAAGACGCATATTAAATGTGAAATCATTTAACATTATTAATAAATTATGCTCTTTACATCTGAATTTCTTCCAGATTCCTTTCATTATCTGAAGCCTGAAATCGCCTGAACGGGACGTGCAGCTCAACTGTCCCAAGGAGTGTTGAGATAAAGTCCCAAAGTCCCGGAAGGATGGTTTTCTACAGAAGAGAAATGCAGACGGAGATACAAAACTCTTGGCAATAAAAATAAAACTTCTTTACCACTGGATGGCACAGCCGGCAGATCAAAAGATCTCAAACATTGCCTTGAACTCTTCTTCAAAAGCCCTTCCAGCAGAATTATCCACAATCCCAGAAAACACAACAAGACAAGCTGAATCAAAACAAAAAGGAGATGTTTTTCACTGAGAAACATGTTGAAGTGCAATATGAGAAATGGCCATATTCATACGAGACATTCGCAGCCACTGAGAGCCGTTCTTATGAGGCCAGACGAAAGCGCTGGGCTGTAAATAAAAGACAAATGTTTTATAGCTGACAATGAACTTTTCTCATGCATTCCTTGACATCTGAAGGGACGACTGGAATATTATACAGTATTTGGGAACTTGGGAGTTCAAAATCATACTTGTTTGAGTTTACATCTCATGAAATAATTCCTATAGCGGTGCTGTGTTAAAAGGTGCACTGTGAAAATGACTTTTTATTTTTAGCATTTTATATTATCTGATATGTTTAAGACTGCAATATAAATTTGGTTGTCTCGAATAAGACTTAAAACCTTCCTAATGTTGTTTTTCCTTCTTGCCAAGAGAAGGTAAAAAACAAAATGTCCTAAAAAATCCTGATAATACGGCCACAACAGCTCTGGATGTTTTGTATTAATTTATTTTGTATGTGTGTGTGAATGTATATCTGTATCCTCCAGATATTTTGCCCAATTAAATCATTCATTGTAAGATAATAAACCTTGTTTGTGTGTGTATGTACTGAGCTATATAAATTTGGGAACAAAACCTTCATTTGGAAGCTTCTGCAGATGTTGGCAATTGTAAAATTTATTTATAAAGCTAATATGGCTTTAAAAAATTTTTTTTTTTAAATGTTTTTAGGGTTAGCATGAATGTTTTGAGTTTAGCATGAAGTTTAGGTTTTGAATTAGTTGTTAACTAAACCTAAAACTAAAACCATAAAAAAAACCTAAAATAAACTTACATTTTAAATATAACAATTAAAATAATCAAATATTTTAATGATTAATAATATTCCTAAACTTATTTTATTTCAGCTGGTTGACATTTTTCTTTTTAATTTAGTTTAACTTAATACTAAAATGGTACTAAAATAACAAATAAAAACTATATAGCCATATAAAAAAAAAAGAAAAAAAAAAGACAAAATTAACCTAAAATTACAAAGAAAACACAAAATATAAAAACTAATTAAAAATATTAATAAAAATCATAACTGTATGTCATTAATACTGAAATAATACTAGTCTGTGGTCATTATAATGAATTTTTACATAAAAACAACAGAATTTAGCACAGGGGTGTGATCTCTCACACATCTGTCTGCAGTCACAGCTAACGCTTCACACTTTCCAGGATGATTCACGTCTCTGTCCCTCCTCAGCCGATCAAACGCTTCACCTGTGCCCTAGCGAACACTGAAAACCTCCTCAAACACCTCTAGAATAACGGACAGGGAGACAGATGCTATTTTATGTCACTCTTTCTTTCTTTCTCTCTCTCTCAGAAGCTTCTTTTGACCCTCTGTCTTCCTCTGTAAATGCCAACCTTCAAACAGCATCCTCTCCTTCACCCTGCTCCATCATCTGAGGGGTCAAAGTGCAAAGGTCACAGGTCTGGCACATGTTCATCACACAGAGAGAGATGAAAATAAAACTACAGTCTGATCTGTTTTTCACCTGATCCTCAAACATGTGTCTTGACTTGATTATGCTCACAAATTTGTGCATCAGTTCACTGTAACATTTTCAAAATGATATGACACATTTATGGAGGACCAAACCTGCAGAAATGAATAGATAGATGGATGGATGGATGGATGGATAGATTGATTGATGACAGATAGATAGATAGATAGATAGATAGATAGATAGATAGATAGATAAATGATGATAGATAGATAGATAGATAAATAGATCAATGATAGATAGATAGATAGATAGATAGATAGAT